TATAAAAAATAATCAAAATTATCATGTGAGTGGTAAAACGTTAAATCTCTATTAATTATTTTGAAACAGTGAAAATACTAGATATGAGAAAACGACATATAAATAAACAAATAAAGAGTATGAGCTAGAAGAGCTAGAAGAAGAATAATCAATTAATTGACAAACAAAACTTGATTGTAGCTAATGAATGGATGCAAAGAAGAGAGACAACAACAAGCCCTTGCAAAGTTTATGTTGTCTTATTCCATCACTTGTTCATATTATGGCCCATATTGCTTGATACCGTCAGCTAGATATTGGGATTGGTCTAATTTTTATTTATTTAATTAAAGAGTATGATTTTTTTGGGGGTCACACATTATTTTTAGGCTACCAATTATAAGTGGCATAGTGGGATGAATTTAACCATAAGATATAATACGTTGGTGGGTCGTATTCATACATGCGAATCTTCATTATTTTAATCATATTACTCATGTGAAAAATTTATTTATTTTTTCTTCTCCTAATTTTATATTTAGGAATTCAATTACTCAATTACCATTGTTAGACTTACCCAAAGAAGGATAAGTTCTCCACATATATGAAAATCAGAAAGTATAGTATAATAATTTGTTTTATTTATATTGAAGATTAAAGAATAATATAAAGTAATATGATGTGGAATTCATATTTTTGAAAGGCAAATGGTGTATATAAGTAGTAAATGAAAACATGCTGAATGGCTGATTATTCTAATGTGATGGATGCAAAGAACAATTAAAAAACTGACTTGGTAAAGCTAGCACATACCTAACTAACTTAAGACCCAATTTTTACCAAACACGGTCTGAAATCTATATCTATACTTAGTATTTAAAAACTATAACCAAGAAACTAAGAAAGACACATGTCCCCATTCATTATATTACAATTCTCTAACCATAGTGCTACATGTCATCTTACACTATTAATTTTTTATTACACCATTTTTTTTAATGCTTTTATTAAACTTATACTTCATCTTTCATACACACTTCATCTCTTCCCTTTAATTCAACCTTTTCCTATTCTCTCTTTAATTTTAGCCCTTCCACATTTTATTTAAGCCTTTTTTTCGATTTAAGTTCCAAAATTTTAATTTCTTTAATCATGTTTCCCATTACATATTATACCCTATAATGACTTACTGATTTTTCTTCACTTATCTCTCAATACAATTTTTCTGATTACATATTATACCCTATAATGACTTACTGATATTTCCTTACTTATCTCTCAATATAATTTTATATAAATAACCCGTGCATTGCACGGGCCAAAAGGCTAGTTGAACTTAATGCCGAGTTAAATAGATACAAACTCTGCATGAAATTAGCTAGATTAAAAGTCGTGAAATAACATTAGTTGAACCTACTTGACAAAATTAGAATTAAATAGAATGATTCGAATTAGGCTCGAGAGTAAAAAGGCGTGAAGAAAACTTGAACTTAATTAATGTGGGTTAATCACTTCTTCTTGAAATAAAATTGATCTTGTTAGAAATATTTAGTTAAATTTTAACGTTTAAATGTTTTACAAAAAATTTAAATGTTTTAAAAAAAAATAATTAAATGTTTAAATTTCATTGCATTAAGTCTTTTGTAAAATTGTAATTGAAATGTTGCTCTTTTCATATAAAAGAACTTATCATTGCAATACACTATATGTTAATAATTAATTATCTCATACATCTTTTTCTCGCTCAATTTTTGATTTTAGTGTTGACCCAACTTGATCAGTAAAATGAATGACCTAGCATAGCTTGATCCAATACTATCCATGGTCGTATTTTTTTTAATGGTAAGGAAAAGGCCCATCTTGGTTTGGGGATTTTAGGGATTCCCTCTTAGAATGAGTTTCGGTGAGATTCGACCTCTGACCACAAGTCTGAAAGTCGAAGAACTAGCTAACTGCTCTAGCCTCCTATCTATTTTCCATGGTTATATAATTTGTACCAAATATAATAAAAGCCTAAAAACTTGAATGAATTTACTACCATAGACGGACCCAAGGGGGGGCCTACTCGGGCCTTGGCCCCCCCCCCCCCCAATGCCCATATTTTGATATTATATAAAGGAAAATTTGGATTTTGGTACTTCGAAAATGGGGGTAATTGAATTTTCGTACCCGTTTAAAATTTATTTTTAAATTGGTACCTCCAAAAACACAAAACTGTAGATTTCAGTACCTCCGTCCAGTTCCGTTAAGTTTTCCGTTAGTGGGGCCCATTATCTAATTATTTATTACAAAAAAAGAAAAAACATTTTATAAAAAAAAAACTTAAAAAATAATAATAAAAAAAAAACCAAAAAACAACCACTAATACCACCAGCCACCCACCTTCCGCCGGCGGTAGACCAACCCCGCGCCCAGCAACATCCCTTCAACCGCCACCCAGCCCTAACTCCCCGCGCCGACGCCACCCCCCCACCAGCCCGCATCGACCACCGTAGCCCATCGTTTCCACTAAACCACCATACCCCGTAGCCCGACCACCATAGCCGAAATCCAGGCCACCACCTCAAACCACTTCGCCGGCAGCCCAGACCCCCTCCCTCACGTCGCCGCGACCCACATGATCTGAAAACCACCACATCGAAACCCTAAAACCCCAAAATAATAAAAAATGAAAAATCCCTAAAATCTTAACCAGCCACCACTAGCGCCAACCCCCACCGCCGTCACCCAATCCCAACTGACCACCCTCGACACACGAAGTCAGCCGGTCGACCTTCCTCGAACCATGAAACCAGCCGTCCGACCACCCTCGATCGACCTTCGAAACGAGCCCAACTGTACCCTAACAACCTCAGCCCCGATTTGGTTTCAGAGTAAGGGTGAGAGGAGTACGGCGGTTTGTGGGTTTTGGTATGGGTGTGGGTTGGGGTTTCGGCAGTTCGGCAACGGTTTTGGGTAGGGGAGAGGAGTTCTGCGGCGGGTAGGGGAGAGGAGTTCTGCGGCGGTGGTGGGTTGATTTGCTGCTGTCGGCTTCTCGCTGGGCTGGTTTAGGTGGTTGCGCTAGGGTTTCGGGGAGGGGGAAACAGGGAGGGAAAGAAAAGGGGTGGCCGGCGCCGGTGCCTGGGGAATTCGGCCACCACAGCCGGAAGCCGGCACAGGGGAAGGGTGGCAGTGGCTGATTTTATTATTATTATTTTTTAAGGTTTTTTTTTATTTATTTTTTCTATAAAATGTTTTTTTTTTAATAAATTAAATTATTAAATAATTAGATAATGGGCCCCTTTAACGGAAAACTTAACGGAACATGAACGGAGGTATCGAAATCTACAGTTTTGTGTTTTCGGAGGTACCAATTTAAAAATTAATTTTAAACGGGTACGAAAATTCAATTACCCCCATTTTTGAGGTACCAAAATCCAAAATTTCCTTATATAAATAAAAAAATCTTGTATAAGTATTCAATTTTTATAGTTGGCTTAGTTGGTTAGTTACTTGTTCCATAGATTTGGAAGGTCAATAGTTCAATTCCCCTTGTTTTTTTTTTTTTTTTTTGTGTGGATTTCTTAAACTCATATCCCTTTATGGCTTTATTATTTGAAATGCCTTATAACTTCGGCCCGGGCTATAAAAAATTTCTGAATCCGCCCTTGTTTACTACATGTTACGTTTTCAACTAAACATCCTATTTCACACATTTGCATATATGAAATGTAAAATTTAAAAGATGTTACATAAGTATATTGGTTTTTTTTTATTATTATTATTTTTTTTATAAGTTTTTTTTTACTTTTTTATTTAATTTTTATTTATTTTTATCTTTTTTTATAAGAACATGTAAACTTATGTAAGGGAAAAATGTATCCAAATTCTAATGATGTAAAGTTCATAAAAAATAAATTAATTTTCAGTTTTCTTTCTTTATGTTGCAATCCCATTTCCATTGATTTTTGAAGGTAAAGAAAGTAAAGAAAAATAAAAAACAATTAATACATTATGTGAGGGGAACGATTAACCCATTTGTCATTCTACAATTAGATCACACTATGAATGACACGTTGATCTTGAGCTATTAAGGAGAAAACAAATAACAATCAAGTGAATATTAGCCTTTTTTTTGTATGTAACGAACGACATAAGTGCAATGATGTAGACGGAATTCAATTTCAGGTCTTAAATACCACTTTTTAATTAGTAAAACTTTAACCAGCTAAATTAGTTGACATCCACTGCACGAATATTAACCTTCTAAAGCACACCTTGTACACTTCTTAATTTCATTAATTTATACAATTAGATATTATTACATGTATTTCACATAATTTACAATTAACTCCCCTGTAAAAAGGTCTAAAATATAAAGACCTGACTAAGACATTGCATTTGACAGTCCCACATAGAGCTAAATAGCAGTTAGCAAAAGGCTAATGAAGTTGAAATTTGTATGTTAACCGTGGGAAATGGACTCTTCAAGTCTTATTGTTAAGGTAGCAGTCGTTTTCTTAGAGCTTTCCTTAGAGTATAATGTCCTCATCAAACATCATATATATCATAAAATAGAAGAATATGCTTTAATTTTTACTCTATTTTGTTTGAAATTTGACACAGTAGATGGGCTTTGGTTAAACAACAACAACTAATTACAATTCTTTTTTCTTTTATTTAATTGTTTAAATTCATTTATTTTAGCAAGAGGTAAATAGAGCTCACAAGATACTCATTTATTACACCAAGTTGGATAAAGTTCACTTTATTACATTATTATAAGTAATAAAGTGATTACTTTTGCGGTAAATGCGCGGATTGTAATCTCAAGTTCAGACGTACATTTTACGCTAGTAAATATACAAAGTATCCTCTACAATTACTTATCAAAGTCATTTAAGATACAGACGATGAGGTTTTCCCGGACCTTTTTCTGTATACGCGTCTACCAGATTATTAACCTTCATTATCATACTAACAAAATTAATTACTAATCTCCCTAAAAAGAGATGAAATGATTCTAGTCAAATTAAGAAAGAAAAGTTGAAGTAGAGGATAGAGATCGAAGGTTGAAACAATCTACCCAAGAGAGAGTTGCGTTACAATTCACGTTTCTTTCTTTCTTCCTCTCCAAAAACCTGTATTTAAGGGTGTTTTGTTGTGCTACCATACCTCTTTTCTTAACACCTTTGCCATTTCCTAAATCACCAAAAAAAAAATATCAAAGGTTTTATTCTACTCCTTAATTTCTTAAACTCTTTTTCTTATTATTTCCTCTGTTTTCCCCTGAATTTACCTTGCTATAGTTTCTTGTTTATACAATTTTTTACATTGTTTAAGCTTATTTCATGTCATTTTTTAATTGAAAACACATTACTAAAACATCTTTGTGGGTTTTTTTTAATTATTTTTAGAGCGTTTTTGCAACCTTGTTTAGCGAAATGGAGATGGATAATTATTCAACGATTACTATAGAAGATGAGAACATGGAACTACCACCTGGCTTTCGCTTTCACCCTACCGACGAAGAGCTGATCACCCATTATTTATCAGAGAAAGTCCTTGACAGCAACTTCAGCACAATCGCGATCGGAGAAGCAGATTTGAACAAGATTGAACCATGGGATTTACCAAGTGAGTATTCAAGAGCAATCTCTTAAGATTTCTTTATTTTTTTTTTCTTGTTACCATTTATCATATAAATGCTTGTTTTTGGTGTTAAGAAGAAAAAAAAATGTTGTATTAATTCAAAATGGGTTTTGTTTTGATGAATCAGGTCAAGCAAAAATGGGGGAGAAAGAATGGTACTTCTTTGTTGTTCGTGATCGAAAATACCCAACTGGACTAAGAACAAACCGAGCAACCGAGGCCGGTTATTGGAAGGCCACCGGAAAAGATAAGGAGATCTTTAAGGCCAAAGTTCTTGTTGGTATGAAGAAAACCCTGGTTTTCTACACTGGAAGAGCTCCTAAGGGTGAAAAAACCAATTGGGTCATGCATGAATATCGATTAGAAGGAAAATTGTCCAAGTACAATCTCCCTAAAAATGCTAAGGTAATCAAGAAACAAAAAAATATTTCTCTAATTTCCCCTGTTTTTCATGATTTTGAATCCAAAAAATAAAATAAAATAAATAATTCATGTCTGTTGTCGAGTATTTGATATGGGTAATTGAATGAAGTAACAAGTTTGTAAACTTTTTTACAGTCGATATTTTTCAACCTTTACATGTTAATTGAGTAAAACTAACTGTTTCTTTGTTATGGTGTTTTGTTTGAATGGACAGAATGACTGGGTGATCTCCCGCGTATTCAAGAAGAGTTTGGGTGCAAAGAAGCCGGATTACTTGGAGGTGGTGAGCCTAGAGGAGTTACAGCCAAATTTCCTGCCACCTTTAATGGACTCATCACCTTACAACAATGGTGAGACGACAAAGGCCGTGGATGCCAACCCGTCTCACGTGACCTGCTTCTCCTACCCATCTATGGTTGAGAATCAACAATTCATCAAAACAACAAAGCAAGAGGAAACTACTACTAATAACAACAACATGTTTGGCATTGGCAACAACATCCCTTGCTCCCCTCTATTTCGAACCTACTCTAGAACCTCGCTTTCTAACATGTTATTAGAGCCAGAAATGCCCGACTTTCAATTTGTTGATTCATTGTTTACACAAGATCAACCCATGATGAAGCTTCTACTCGAAGGCAAAGAATCCAACCCTACTAAAGAAGAATTATCTGGCATTGATATGTCTTCATCTGGTATTTCAAATCATGATATTGTTAATAATAATCAAATTGGTCCATTTGACCATGATTGTTTATGGGATTATTGAACAATTAGAGATGATTTGGCATAAATTATTGGGAAGGGGAAAAAAAACTAAGTATTTAAATTAAAAACTAGTCTTATGTATAGTTTAATAGAAAGGGGTAAAATTTAGGTCCATTGTAAGTGTATTTTCTATATGTTATAGGAAAAAAACTTGCTCATCTTTTAATCTTCAGTTAATTTATTTGAGATCACTAACCGTAGAAAATAGATTAATATACAATTTACTGCTTATTTTGGCAGGGAAATTTATTATCGTTCAACATTATACAAGTATAATTTTATTGTGTTACAGTATTCACTTGAATAACTGTTACACATTTTTTTAATTTAATGTGTTTGTCCTACTGTCCTAGAGTAATTTGAATACTTTTTTAAACGGGAATCACGAACAATATCCGTAAAATGCTTGAAGATGTCTGATTTCTCTCTAGCTATGCCTTTATTTATTTATTTTTTATTTATTTTTTTGTTGAACATATTTTTTTCTTTTTACTTATTAAATATGATATGCTTATCAATTGTCCATCTCATCAGAATGAATCGACCTATTATTTTAATTAATTAGCAAAAACATTGCGCATTAAATTAGCAATTAACAAAGGTAAACCTCTAACTAAAATTAGTTAAGCATTGTAGAAGCAAAAAGAGATGATTCTATTAAAACTAGTTGTTTATTTTTGTCTATTTGAATTAGCAGTTTTATTTTGGACAAAACTGTCATTTTAATCAGCTATTTGGTCCAAGTTAAGATCGCTATTTTAATTTGTGGTTCTGCCTAAATCAATATTAAAAAAAAGTGTTTACAATAGGGGCATGATTAGGGAAACTTGACACATTATAGTATTTTCTATTTTCTTTAATATTCAAGAGAAATTGAAAGGGTGCTGTGTTGGGTGTACCCATATTTCATCATAATAAACAATTGTCAAACACATTGACACATGATTTCAAAAAAAAAAAAAAAAAAAAAAAAAAAAAAAAAAAAAAACACATTAACACATATCCAATAAATTAACACAATGGCCAATAAATTAGTGCACAATTGCTGTAATTAATTAGCTAATTAGCCAATTTCAAAGTTAATATTTTTATTACAACGAGTAACTTTGGTTAAATTGATTTAAATTGCAGATTATAAACGTGATTTGGTTGATTAGTTAGTGACAAACACCATCTTTTCTGGCCTTTTGCTAGCAATGGATCAATCAATCAGTTAAAAATTACGGCGTGTTAGGCCAACAACCGCCAACCGGTGAAGTGAGTTCATTGCAAAATTTTCGATTTTACATGGGCTTAGAAGTTTGGTTTTTTCACACAGCTATGACTGCGAAAATCTGATATCATAGTATTTGTTAATACGGGTTTAAGTCGCACCTATTATTAAGATAGATAGTCTACTTTATAAGTCTAGTATTAACTCCCAAAACTATATCTGGTAGTAAGAGTAGTGACTTTTTTAGCCTTATAAGATGTTTAACTTCTTTTTATTTCTTTATCAATATGGAACACTTACAAGTATTGTTTGAAAAAAGTATACTTCAAAATATTTTGTCGATTGCTAAGGTAAATTTTTGGCCATCCCCATTTATAACCCAAGCGGAAGAAACCATGCTTTCGGCTTTGGTAGTGGGCTTTTAAGATTTTCCCCTTGTCTCTCCTCCATTTGTTAACCGGTGACAAAGCTAGATTTGATCGCACCATCTGATAGACACCGTTTATGTTAGACCTTATGCCGATAAGGTCATTTGTGAGACAATGAGTGTTACCTTGTCTTAGAGTCAGGCTCTGTAGATAGTACAGTGGATGTGTTTTCATTCAAGGGGGAGTGTATAGGCTTACACTTGAGGGGTTATTCAAAATTACAAAGTGCGAGTGTTGTTTGTTTCACCTTAAAAAATAAATCAAAAGACTTTTAGTTTATAAAGCAAGCGCAATACTTCTATTGGCAATTGGTTTTAAGAAGGAACCTCGCTTTGAATTCTAATAGTAAGCTTCTCTCTGTTGGAAATAATGCAAAGAAAGGTTTCTTGTTTTTAGAGGAAAACTCTTTGTCCCACATTGGTGGGATAAGGAAGGTTTACTTGGTTTAAATATGTGTGTTTGTATTTTAATGTTTGAAGTGCTTTCCCTACTGTTGTGGGCTAGAAGGGTGCATCCCCACGCGCGCGCCGCCGCCGTCCGGCCGATTCGGTTCATGTTCGTGGCACGTGCGCGGTGTGGTGGGGCTACCTTTATCGTTCAGTTACGAAGCCCGCAACAACATTTGACTCAGTTTTTTGAACGTTTGTAACTGTCCCTGATTTTACTCACACGATTTATTTTGTGGCTTGATTTTCTCCATTAGTTACGATCTTCTTCCTCTATAAAACTGATTTTTCGTGGCTTTTGAAAACATACCAAAAAAAACAATTTCCTTTCTCTTTCTCTATTCTTCTTGTTTTCCTCTAAAATCAGTTCTGAGCATGTTGTGAGTTCCTAATCTCTCCTTTTGAGTGCACATTAAGAAAAATCGCTATGTTAAATCTTGGGGGGCAACGCCATCTCCGATTGCACCATAGTCGGGGCGAATTTTGCTTCTAAGATAGTGTTCTAAACACGTCACAGCTTTTCACCTACATTAATCAAATTCGGCCCACATTTTAATTTACATTTTTCCTGATTTTACAGTATCTTTTCCTACAATTTAGAAGCAAAATTTCCTACTGTAATTTTAGATTATGGAATTTTCAATTGCAAAAACCCTTCCCGATCTCTCTAAACTCGAATCCCTTGATGGGACCAATTACAAATGATGGTCTCAGAAATTGCTGATCTTTTTTGAACAATTGGAGGTTGATTATGTCCTCCTCCAAGACTGTCGGGAAAATTGAACAAAGAGAACAGAGAATATAACAAAATATATATTCACCTTCGAATGGTTTTTGGTGGCCAAAACCAAATTAATTGTCGTTCTCTCAAGTTCCAACTTCTGAGCGTCTCAGTTGCAGGCTCAGTGCACTGAATTGTACATGTTGCAGTTAGCTTACAATTTATTTCATATTTTCATTAATTATTAATTTGCTAAAAGCATAAAATAGCTCAATGGTAAAAAGTGAGAAGATTAAGTTACCAATTTGTCGCACTATAAAGGAAATACGTATATAAGATGTAACAAAAGAATCCCCTATGCTGAAGGGCAGTGACATCTGAAGCAGCCAATTCGTCCAAAACAGCAGCTTCAGGCTGAGATGCTTTCTCAAACTCCCCCAGAAGTGAATTTCCAGACAGATTTTCATCAATGTTATTAATTACTAGAGGTACAAGTATGATGACAAATCCAGGAATAAAAATGAATTATTGCAATAGAAACGTCAAGCAGATGAATAAGCTCTCTTCATTTCCTTATATACACCTCATTTTTGCATCAAAATCATTTATACATTCTCAAATACAAATAAACTGTAGAATACAATAAAGCCAGACTTGGAAATTTGGAATACTTGCTAAAGCAACTGTTAAAGTAATATTGAACGAGCTTCAGAAAAAAAAAAAATTCTACAGCGATTGTAACCTAACCATACTCACAATGTCAAGGAACCCAGAGAAGAAACCTAATCAGTACAACAGCGAGAGAAGTCAGAAAAGAAACCCTGGTTATGACTAGTCAGGCACTATGGTCTGCATTGCACCTAGAAATTTGGATTTTTTATGACAATTTAGGAAGTGCCTAGCAAAATCAGTTTTTCTTCATCGGCAACATTCTAAATGAATTCGGCAAGGTCACAGTAATTCCATCATCTCCATGTATGATGTATCTGCATATACAATTGATCTAAATGTCACAAAAGTGTATGCATTAACACTGCAAAAGTTAGGGGCAAAATGTTCGTCAATAGTAAAATTAGAAACCCAGATTTTTCATATTAGAATTGTTGGACAGCCATTCTTACTGCAGGCACAGTGAGTGAGTTAATTGTGTACAACAAATTACAGAGTATGAAATAAAAAATTGCATAGTACTTAAAGAACACTCCTCGTTTACTGTTTCAGGCTCATAATTAATGACGACACAACACAAACAATCCATTGTCTAATTACAGGACCTTGAGATAATAGATTGACAGCCCATAATCATCGGCCAACATTTAATAACACCACACAAATGATATTATTTCAGCATAAATGAATTTTGGATCTGCAGGCATAAATTTTTTGGCTTAGACTTTACAAGGTAACAACCTTATACCCCTAAGCTACACCTCTGTCATTTGCTTTTTGTCTATGGGCTAGCAATGCCCATAAAGCAAAGGGAACTAGCCGAACAGGGGAGTATATCAGCTACAAGGTGGCTAACAATTTCCATAACTTTATGATCCCTCTTTTATGTTCTTTTTTCCTTTCAATTGCTAAAATTACTGCACCTGATATCAAACAGTTACACTTGTAAAAATAAAAGACAAACAAAGGAAAGGAGGGACTCACAGGAGACCATATGGAGATCCAAACTAACCCAGCTAAAACAAGTAGGTAGCTTTAACAATTTGCTTAGACATCATCATTTCTGTCTTCAAGTACGACCTTAACGCCATTGTCCTTCAGTGCGTTCACAACAGCCCACACCTTGGTACGATTTTTAAAGCCTTTTTTCTCCACCTCCTTGTTCATATCAACATGGATCCCTCTTCCTTGTCCATGGTCAAGACCTTCAACCTTTAATCGCCTAGCTAAAACTTCTCCTACAACAGTTGCTGCCTTTGCATTGCAAGACCGACCACACTCAAGTGAGCTTTTGAGAGCATGCTCAACTGTAGAAGCAGTGGCAACAATCTTCCCATTGTTCCTATCTACTACATTTGCTGTGATGTACTTCAAGGATATAAACAACTTTAGAACATATCTCTTCATAACAGCTGCCATCCTTTGTTCATCCAGGTAAGCTTATACTATGTTGCTTTGGCAGTGTACCCCTTTGTTTCAAGCTAGATACCTGGATGAGAAAAGAACAAGAAAATCAAGGAGGATTTAACAAGCATATATATCAACAAATTAATGAATCATTCAAGACAAGCAAGCAGAAAACAATCAAATCGAGAGTGCACACAAAACTATAGGAGTGAATAACTGACCATTACAAAGGACAACTAAGAATAATAGAAGATAAAGAGTCATTTCAAAATTTTCAATCTACAACTTTCAGATAAGATAGTAGTCCGATTAGGTCAGCAAATTTCACCAAATCAAGTCATACAATATCCAATTTAACACAATAAGCAATAATCAAGGTTGTCGAGAAAAGATTCCTACTTGTCATTGTAGAGGTCCTTAGGGGTACTGAATTTGTTTTGTGTGTAGAGGGATGGGCTATGTTACTCAGGTTGGACATGTACACATGTCCATAGTCCGACTTGGCTTTATGAGTGAATTTTTCATGCGTCCAATGGGTTGGACATGAACATCTTGCTGTGTCTTTTTGGATGTAGTAGCTCAGCACCAAGAGGGATTGTGCTCTTTACAGTACACAACCGTCACAACACAGTCAACCCAAGTAATATTATATTCCTTTTTCTTACCACTCAAATAACTAAATTTCTATGCGAATTTTATGTTACTCATCAGTCCCTATGGCCTGCAGATGTTCATTAAACTAACATATAACTCTATACATACTCCATTATCACACCAGATAGCCTTAGTTCCATGATTAATGCAACCAAGGAAGAGTGTTGTCACTTCAAGTCCTATTTAGGGGGGCCTTTGGTATGAATATTAGAAACGGAATGGAAAGGAAACAAATAAAAGGGGGAATAGGAATCATTTAACCATTATCTTTTCATTTGTTTGGTTTAACCATAGAAAGAAATCACTTAACCTAACTTCCTTTCTATTTGTTAAAGGAAGGTAAAGGGTAATTGTCACGTTAGGTTTTAGAGAGGTAAAAAATAGGTGGAAACTGGAAACCATTACCCCTAGGTAATGGTAATTGTTACTCAAAGCTTCTAACCAAACACTTAGCAAAGATCACTTAGTAAAGATAATGATTTAGTAGAATCCGTTTCCAAGCAAAAAAATCCCTTGCCAAACATGCTCTTAGAATCATTCCTGAACAACCTTTGATTCAATCCATCCACCTAAGTACATTGACTTGTAGACTAATATAAGCAGTGCCAGTGGACTTAATACGTATATCAACCCACTATGAATAACATATTAACAATATTAGTTTAAACTACTTCCAGATCTACAAGTCTACAACATGTACTTTCAAAACCAATTTTACTCTTGGGTCAAAATCTTACAGCTATATTGCACAATGCCAGACATCTACACATTAGCTCAGCAGTTAAATTCAACCTTGTACAGATAAATTCCCAAAACATTAATTCTCATTTAACAGACTTGATCTCATCAAGCATTGGGTTTCAGCTCAATAATTATTAAAAGATGCTGATCCCCATAACAACCTGGTAAATTCAGATTATTTAGCAGGTATCAAAATCTGAAATTCCGCCTAACCAATTCCGAATTTCGTAATTCCACAGGCACAGAACTCAAACGAGAACACTAAACAGTTTCTTCATAAACTCGAAAAAATTCCCTGCTTTTTACATAAGAAGTTAACTCACCTCTATCCAAGGATTTTCCATGAATTAGGCGTTTAGCATTTACAATTCTCTTCTCTCTTCTAGCAGTTCCAAGATTAGGTTAATAGGTTGAAATTATCTGAACTCAATACGAAATAATTCTAAACTTCTACTCTACTCTACTAGTCTACCCTACTTCCTCAAGATTTGTCAACAAGCCCAACCCTGAGTCTAGGCAAGATGGACAGCCACATTTGGCCTGTGACAACAACTCCATTCTCATAGTTCTCTATTATTAAAGGGTTGTAAACAAAATCCTGCAACACAAAACTCAATATGCAATGATTCTAAACTTCTACTCTACTCTACCCTGCTCCCTCAGTCACTCGATTTCTATTTCTTGATATCAAAATGAGTGAAGATTTGTCAACAAGCCCGACCCTTAGTCCGAACAACATGGACGGCCGCCTTCCCATGGTAACAACTCCATTTTCATAGTTCTCTAATATTAGAGGGCTATAAACAAAAATCCTGCACACAAAACTCAATATGCAATAATTCCAAACTTCTACTTCTACTTTACTCTACTCTCTTCCCTCGGTTACTCAATTATTATTCCTTGATATCAAATGAGTGAAGATATGTCAACAAGCCCAACCCCAGGTATGGGAAACATGGACGGCCGCCTTCAGCCCATGACAACAACATTTTCATAGTTCTCTAATATAAAAGGTTGTAAACAAAATCCTGCAACATCTCAGCAGCCAAACTTTGACTCAATTATCAAACTAAACTTGAAAAATCACGTTAAATTCCACTTGCTCAAGAATTTGAATAGCAAAATTCTAGCAACGAAGTCGTTAGTAATAATCTTTCATAAGTTAAGTAATTTTAATTAGTAGTTCAAAAATCCACCCTAGAATAACCCTAAATGATTATACAGACAATTAGCATTAACAATTGACAGTAGATTGAGAAATTGATATTTCATAGTTAAATCCTAAGATTAAAGTGTTGTGCAATACATTAGCAACCAAATTTGATTCATAATTATAGGGATATTTGATTCAAATATCGATCTCATAATTTCAGAGATATTTGATATGATAATAACAAATACAAACAACTTACCTTAGAAGTTGCTTCAATGGGGGATACAAGAACTAGATTCAACGGAGAACGCTAACTGCGGTTCAATGGAGAACGTTGAGTGCCCTTCAATGGATATATGAGAGAGAGCAATTCTATGGATCCCTTATGACTCGTCAGACCATCATCACTCATGGAGTCGTACTATAAAAATTTATACCACCTCTCTCTCTCTACTACTTTCTCACTCTTCCACGTCATCTATGGTATAAAAAAAGTTTACCAGCACACTTTTACTATTTATAAAGTTAATTAAATAAAAATAAGCAATTTAGGTAGAAAAAAGTGAACTTGAAAAAATTATGAACAATTGTAATTTTTTCATAATTTTTGACTTTATAATTTTTTCTTAAAATGCAATTGAAAAAAAATTAATAAAAGATGTATGACAATCAGGCCACGTGACGTGATCTGGTTGGTTCATATTTCACGTGGAATGAAGCAAAAGTTTACCATGGGATGGTATATACCATTTGATGGTATAATTTTATGCCACCAAGGTAGTAAAAATTTGCAACTTTTGGATGAATATTTACACCGTGGTATAAAATTATACCACGAGTGTTGATGCTCTCAGGGCCGTCACGGTTATTAAAGGGATAGGTCCGTCTAATAATAATACATTAAATAAATGGGTTGAGTCTTTATGTGATCGTCCAATTATGGGATGGCGCACACCTTTTTAAGGGTTTAGAGTAAACCTATTTTAAAAAGTACGAATGGAGTATTACTTTAAATTTACACTTCCTTTTCCCAAATACAAGGGTAGCTAACGTGCACGATGCTCGTGCCATGGCTAGTCATATCCGGAATCTCTTTTGATTTAACCTTACATCACAAATTTAATGATTGGCAACATAATGAAATAAAATATATATATATATATATATATATTAAGGGGTATCAATGTCCACACATTAATCTTAAGAGTAAAAAATGAAGAGGTAACAATCATAATGAGGGTAAATAAGTAAATAAACATTTTAAATGGTATAATTATCCAAACAAAAAACTTGTACATATTAATGAGGGTATGTATGTAAATAGAAGGGTATAACAAGCATAACACTATTCATAAGAATAATCTTGTACTTTTTATAAGGTACGTAGGGATTATCATCACACACCAAAACTTGTATAATTTGTATTAAAAAAAAAAAAAAAACCCTTGTATAAATTGTTTGTATGTTTTTTTTTTTTCTAATTTGAAAACGACAAAAATTACATTAATTAAACTGAGTTTACAACAAACGAAAGGAAAGTATGGTAACATAAGTTAATCACAATTTATCATGTGTTTAGGATGAGTTTTCCTCAAAGAAATGTGGTTAGGATGACTGTTTTGTCATGGCCATTATGGCAAACTAATAGTGTCATGTGAAGTGTGAACTATGCAATTGTACAGGTAGTGTTAACTTTGCGGTTTCAACATCAGTTGACGGTCACCTACATTTTATTATAAATGCAGTTACAGATCCTAGCAAGTGTAGAATTCACTTAGTTAATTGTATGAGTTGGTTAGTGTTCTGTGTAAAACGGAAATTGTTAGTGAATAACTTTGGAAGTGACAGCTTTAATATCCTATATAATCAGATGATATTACCCCCGTGTTTTACAACAGACCATGAAACACTAGTAAAATTAGAAGAAAAAAATCTAGAATATCCTATAAAATAAGATGATAGGATCGGAACTAGGGTCATACAAATGCTTCCTCATTGCCTCAATCACCACCAGATTATCACTCTCAATCTCAATGCAACTCACACCCTTGCGTCTCGCAATCTTCATGCCCTAAAATACCGCTTTCACCTCTGCAAACTTAGTCTCTCATTTTTCACTCCACTACACTGTAGCTCCCCAAAGCACCACCCCCTCACTATACCTGTAAACTACACCCAGCCCCATCTCCCCCAAAACTCAGCATCAACTATAATTTTAACCACAACAGATGCCGAAGGAGACCCACCCACAAATACAATCTTTCCCCCCATCAATTCCCCTTATTATTCAACTATCCCACCTCACGCCCCTTCGTATTAATCTTCAAAGCATAAGCTGCAATTTGTTCAACATTCGGATTTTCACCCTCAATTATTCATTTGTTCCTTGCGCCCACCATAGCCCAACACATGGTAATTAAACTCACCATTTCTACCCAAAATTACCAAAACAGTGCTCTCACTAGTCACTCATACTACAAAGAGAGTGAGACAAAACATAGAATTATTGCACTTACTCCAAATTGTTTGAGCTAAACTGCAATCTTGACACATGCATGAAAAATTCTTCTTCTCTCTAGCAAACACCACAAGCTAGTATCCAGGACACAAGCTAGTAGCTATGGCACAAACTAGCTACAAAAGAAATTAGCTTTATAATCTTATGTAGCCTAAAAAAGCTAATTTTCTAATTAGCTTACTATTGGAGTTGCTCTAATACAACATCGATTCCATTAATTGGATACATTTTAATTTTACACCATATTGTCTCAACTAGTCCAACGAACACCCACCTAAACCTTAACTCTAACTCTCGAACCCCACTTATGTGGCGAACTCCCAACCAAAGCCCAACCCTTACTCTCAAACCACACTTATGCGGCGAACTCTCACCTAGCCCTAACTAGCTGATTCATCGAACCCACACAACTCTCACCCACCCTAGTCGGCACGAACCTATGACCACCCAACCCTCCACACCAAACCCGACACTCTAGTCTTTTAAAAAATTATTTATTATAATTAAAATTAAAATTAATTTTTTGTATAAGTTAATGTTAAGCTATATTTTATTTTTTAATTAAGACAATTCTTATTTAAATTAGAGTTCATTATTGTAAGATTGTGTACATGTTAGTGGACCATCTCAACCAAAAGTTTAAGCTTATGGTTAAGGCCCAGGAATATGTTTTATACTCTATAATCACTCCTCCTCACATGAAAGGCCCTTTGGGCTTGAAATGTGGATGCAACACAAGCCCAACCATACCTTGTGCGAATCAATTCCACTTTGAAGGAGGGGCGGATGAGATTCGAACTCGTGACCTTTGTGTCACGCTGGCTCCGATACCATGTTAGATTGTGTAAATCTCCTTGAGAGATGCATTCCCATTGCTTCAATATAAATAGCAAATGTACAAGAATAATCAAGAGTCTCTCTACATAATTACACAAATAATAATTACAGAATATGAAGTGTTTCATATTCTATCAATTATAGTATAAGTCAAATGATAACTTGTTTGACTGATCACAAATAAAATATAATACTTTAAATATTTTATGGAATATAGACATCAATACTTTTTTAATTAATATTGGAAGATCACCTAAAGTTTGACTTATTGTGGTTATTTTTTTCATTATTTTACTGTATTATCACTAGTAGAATAAACGTAATGGCAAGCGGTTCAAACCCCCTAATAGCAAGCGCTTTTGAACCGCATGGGCTTAGGGGGCTTGCCATTAGCGATTTAAATGGCAAGCGGTACAGAACCGCTTGCCATTACTAGAGAAAGGGCAGCGGTTTTGGCGCCAAACCGTTGCCCATTATGGGTATAAAAAAAATTTGGTTTTTTTCACATAAATTGATATATAAACCAAACATATGTAAAAACATTAATATTTTTATTAATTATTTGTTGTAACATTACATTTACATAAAAAAAATTAATACAACTAATAAAATTAATACAACTAATACAAATAAAAAAAATAAAAAACTCATGTTCCAGCCACGACCAGCAACACCACCATCCAGGACCACGACCCCCACGAGCAACCACCACCACCAGAACCCCCCAACTGACCCCCACCCACCAAACCCTCACCGAAACCCATAACCCCACCACGACCCCCCACCACCCCTCACCCACCAGAACCACCAACTAACCCCCATCCACCAAAACCCTCACCGAAACCCACCAGAACCCTCACCGAAACCACGACCCCCACCCACGACCCTAACCCAAACCACAACCCCCACCCATACGACCAGACCCCCAACCAAACCACGACCAGACCCCCACCCAAACCACGACCCCCCACCCACCAAGACTGTACCCCCACCAAAAATAAATATAAAATCAAAATTAAAAAAAAACAAAAAAAAACTTGACCCACCTTTAAAAAAAACCCATCTAGCCCACCACGACCTCCACCCAAACTAGATCCCCGCCATGAAAACGCCAATTTGGGCTTGAAATTATGGTTTTAAAGGTCAAATTCGACCATAAAAACTCTAGATCTAGAGTTTTCATGGTCGAATTTGACCTAAAAAACTTGAACACCCAAACGCATGCACGAATTTGCTTGAAATTGTACTTGTAATTTGCCCAAAATTGTCCTCAATCTGCTCGAAAACTTGGGGTTTTGGTTGAATTTGCTCGAAATTTTTTGGTTTTGGTTCGAATTTGTGGAGATGAGAAAGAACAAAGAAAAAAAGAAAGTGAAAGAAGAAAGGATCGAAGGAAAGAGAAGAGGAGAGAGAGAGAAAACGTGAGAAAGAAAAAGGAGAGAGAGAGCACCAAAAATGAAAGAGGAGATAGAGAGAGTCGAGTAAAGAAAGAGGAGAGAGAGAAATAAAGGGAGGGGTGGGCAGGTACGGTTTTAGGGGTTTTTTTAAATGACAAGCGGTTTGGGGTTGAACCGCTTGCCAATATATCTAATGGCAAGCAGTTCAACCCCAAACCGCTTGTCATTTATATATTGGCAAGCAGTTTTGGCGACCGCTTGCCATTCAATATTAGAGTTTTAAAAAAAAAAAATTGGTAAATGGCAAGCAGATTTTTAAAACCGCTTGCCATTTGGGGCTTCCCATCAAGTATTTTCTACTAGTGTATGTTAGACTTTCCTTCTACTTATCATATGTATTTTTTAATACTTATGCTTTTCTATTTTACACTAATATTTTCCATATGAAAATGACAAAAAAAGCAAAAAAAAAACAAAATGGTGCATTATCAAACCAAGAACGAATTTTTTTAGTATGCAGTATCATTAAATATCTAGTCATTGAAATATATACTTATGGATTATTGATTAGTCATTATTCATCGATTATTACTAATTATTTATTTAATTAAATTATAATAATATAATATTTAATTATAATATAAATCACAAAACAAGGTTAAAAGAAAAGAGTGAATAGTAAAAATGTCCAAATAATGGAATTAAATAAATAGAGAAAATATTCAACAAATTATATAAAATTATTTACGAATTAACAAATTACATAACTATTTAATAATTACAAAAATAAATAATTTTTTAATAATCATTTTTGGTTAGGGTTTGCACTCACTGCGGAAAAAACCCGAGCCAAGGATCACGCTTGCAATAAATAATATCACTAATGCATAAATAAACTTAAAAGGGTAAAATAAGAAATTTACCTTTGGCCCGTGCTTCGCCCCACAAATTGGGCTCTTACTTGAGAAGCTTAGCCCTGAAAATACGAAAGCCTCCGACGGAGAAACACCCACAAAAACAACTACCAACTTTTAGGTCCGTTACCTCGAGGTTAGCGAGGTCCGACCAAAACCCGAGTATTATGTGAGGTTAAGAGTTTTTGCTAATGCAATGCTCTATTGAACTCCTACTCAAGCACTCTTCCCAAAAACCCAAGATGGGTATTTATAGGCAAGAGGGAGAGTGGGAATTTCTATCCTATCAATGTGGGAGCATGAAATTCCACAATTTATTTTAAAGCTAAATTAAAATAAATAATCAAACTAATAATAAATCTACAAGTGTCACTATTACATGTAAAGGGAAGTGAGGACCACTTGGAGAGTAGGGGACCATACTTTCTCCCCACTCCATACTCTCCTTGTGCCACATGTCCCTCACCCACTTGCTTCCCATTTGCTTCCCATGAGTTTCGGCCCTACTACATGTGCCTTAGGCCCAGCCGTAGCCCAACCGAAGCCCAGCCTCGCACTTGGAGTTGCGAGCTGCTGTTGTGGCTAGCAAGCCATGCACTCCAAGTGCGGGCTGCTGCTAGCATGTCGCGCACACCATGTGCGGGCTGCTAGCAGCTGCTGCCTTGGTGTGGTTGCGGCTGCTAGCTGCTGCTATGCACGGTGCGCTAGCACGCACCAGCCAGCCACCCTTGGCTCGGCATGGTGCGCATGCTATTCACCTGTGCTAGCATATTATCCCCCTAGCATTCGGATGCTCGGGGCATTCCGATGCTAGGGGTATTTTGGGAATATTGTTGATTTATTATTATTTTGCGCGTCTCGCGTCGCCATTTACTATTTTTACTCGACTTCCGACGCTCGGTTTTGACGCTCTTAGCTCGAATTTCCGATGTCTAAATATTTAATACTCAGGCAACTCATTAATTTCTTCCGAATTATTTCTTCGAGTTGGTTTGTTAATTGCTTGGGTGTGACCCGAAGGGTTCAGTCAAGATTAAGCTATAATATTAATTATACATTAATATTACTGATCGGAAGCGGCCTCCACCTAGGCATTCCGATCACTTGACCTTACTGAATATATTAGCTTTCTAATAATTCTGAACCCACTATCAGAATTACTCTTGTTCGAAGGACACCATTCCTTTCAATTTCGCCCCGGGCCTCCAAATTGTCAAAATCGACTATGTTGATGATTAATTAAAAGAAGAAAAGACAGGCATGTACTCAGAGGATATATTAATCCCCAGAATTACACTGCAAATAGACATTCACAACACATGGCCTAACTACATGTTTGTGTTTAATCAAAGGATATACATTAATCCCAACAAAAAAGGCACTTGAATAATAAATTCAATAAATCATAATAATTCAGTTAATCAGTTTAATCCAATAATTAAATTCAATAATAAATTTAATAAATTGAAAATAATAAATGGATGAAATTAGGAAAGGCGAAACTTAGAAGCCGATGAGAAAGCTCACAAGCAACTTCAATGGAGGAAAGGAAGCTTACACGCTGCTTCAATGAAAAATCCAGGAGAGAAAGCTCACAAGCTGCTTCAATGGAGGAGAGAAAAAATAGGGGAAACCAAGGAACTCTAGTTAGGAAAGTGAGGAAGTCAAGGAAAAGGTTTTTTTATTTTTATTTTTTGAATAAAAGTCAGGGAATACATTTTTTTCCGGCTATTTCACCAAATGTCAATAACCACTTTAATAATTCACCAAATGCCATCAAAGTTTTCAAAATTCACCAAATACCACCGAATTATTAAAAAACTCTCCAAGTGTCATTACTAACTAACGGCAGTTAACTCCGTTAGTCATTAGGGTTTAATCATGACACATGTCATGAGATGATTGGTTCATTCCAATCATTCACTTTAATTAAAAAAAGTAACATTTTTTCTAGATTTTCGTGACGAAAATTGTCCAGGTAAAGTTTTACGGTCATTTTGTTCCTTAAAGAATTCAAATTAAGCTCGTAATGACAAAAAAATAACGTAAATGCCCTATTTTGTGTGTCGAGAAATATCCGAGTTTGCATGTCGATTTTTGTCACGAACAATTTTTGTCACGAAAATCTATTAATTAAAATAAATGATTGAAATAAACCTGTCGTATAATGACATGTGTCATAATTAAACCTTAATGACTAACGAAGTTAACGGTCGTTCATCATTAATGATACTCGATGAATTTTTTGAAAAACTCGGTGGCATGTGGTGAATTTTGAAAACCTTGATGACATTTGGTGAATTATTAAAGTGTTCAGTGATATTTGGTGATAGCTTTTTTTTTTACAAAGAGTTCATTAAAGAAAAACAGAACCTATGAAGAGTACATAAATTAAGAAAATTACAACCCAACATATCAAACTAAACACGTAAACAGGAATGGGAATCCTTATAAACCATAATATAACACCATGATGACCACCATAGCATAACCACATGTGATGCCCGTCATTGCTATAACACTATTGAATTTGGTGCCAAGAACACCAAGAAAAATTTACTTGATCTGTAATGTGGATTGAGCATTGCCAAACTAACCAACAGGGCCGTTTTTTGAGATTTCGGAGGCCCTGGAGAGAAATAATATGTTGGGGCTAGGGATGGCAATGGATCTGTATTCGACCCAGATCCGTGGATCCATATCCGTTTTCACGGATATGGATCTTGTAAAATTGGACCCGATGGATCCGGGTCAGATACGGATCCTATCCTAAAAAAACGGATTTGGATACGGGTCTGACTTAAATACCTGTATTCGGATTCGTTTACCCATTTTTTTAAAGCTAAAATTATTTTAAAATACAAGCCCAGCCCACACCCCACATGAGTTGATCTCTTTCTGACTCTTAACTCTATCAAACCCCCAAACCCTAAAATCTCACACACCTCTGACCTATCTAACTCCCTCTCCTCTCTCTTTGTCTCTCCCAAATTACTCCACGAATCCACCGCAGCAACTCTGCAAGTGACTCCAACAGCCCTCTCCGGCAACCGTGAGTCTAACACTCCAACCCATCCTCTCCGACGACCGCAAGTCCGCAAGTAACTTACAGTGCATTGATTTGTGGTATGTAGTTTAATTAATCCTTAAATTCTATACTTTATGTTTGGTTTTATTAAAGCTATTTTTGTCATGGTAATGTTTTATAATTTATTTGTTAGGATATTATCCAAATGAGTAGATTTATATGGTTGTTGCTCACTGTCGTTTTTTCCATTTTCCAGCCCTCTTGGTAGTTGGCCTAAAGGCTTCTTGAGAGATGGATTCTGGATGCTCATCTTATTTCACAAATTGTTGTACTTGTTTGTATTGTATTAATGGATTATTGAGATTTGTATAAGTTGTCTTGTATTAATGAAGTTTGAAAGTTGAACCATTGTTTTAAATGAATACTAAATTTTTTGCTTAAAAAATAGGTACAATGTACAAGATCCGTTTTGGACCCGTATCCGTAGGATCCAACGGATATGGATATGGATCCTCCTTTTCCATACCCGACGGATCCGGATCGGATATGGATCTAGGGTGCAAACATGGATCTGGATATGGATCTATTCAGATCCTGTCCATATCCGACCCATTGCCATCCCTAATTGGGGCCCTATATGTATACTTCACCAGTATTCTAATAATTGCACCACTTTCTTCAAAATATCATATTTTCAGTTAAAGTGTTGCAATAGAATTGAATGAAATTATACTCCATATAAATAAAATGTACATAAATTTTTAATATTGGGAGAAATTCTTTTTATTACTTTGAATTAATAGTCTATAGAGCGTTTGTATAATTTAAAAACTTTTGCAACAAATGAAATTGATCTCTTGTTTGCATAATTTTAAAGCTTAGCATTTTTGCTTTTTTAACAAAATTTTGGGTCTCTTTGTCAAAAAAAAAAAGAAAAAAATGGGTTGCAATTATACATAAAACAGTGGGCTAATTGATAAATATTGTTCTAAAAGTTAACGTATGAATAATAACTTATAGAGTATGTTGTATTTTATATCTAATTTCATTGGGTGTTTGAGGGAATTATAATTTTTTTTAAAGATATAAAGAAAAAAAATAGTGTGTCCTGATTTATTCAAAAAAACTAAATAAATAAAATAAATAATGTGTCATGATGAAGATAATAATGATCAAATAAGAAGACCTCATTTAATAAGCAAAAATAAAGCTTTAGGTTTTGAACTCACGGCCTTATGAGAAATAAAGGAACTATATCTAAGCCATCAAGCCACTAGGCCACACAAAGTACTACCATCATATTTGCACAATTAATTTATATAACTAATAAACCAGACTTAAGAGCTGAACAAATTGGGGCCTTTTTGGCCGTGGGCCCTGACAGGCGCCCAGCTGCCCTGGGTCAGATATGGGCCAGCTAACCAAATAACTCGAAATAGAGATTGTAGTTTGAATGCAGTGAGGAGAACAGGAACTTGCCAGAACACAAAAGCAAATTTGAAGTGGAAGCTGCTAAGAGTAGAACCAACCGAAAGGCGAATGCGCTCTAATGAAGAAACAAGAACCCTTGACACCACTTCACTCCTAAGGACACACAAAGCATAACTACTTCCTAGGCTTCTGGGAAGACAACTAAAAGAGTCATGTTTTTAAATGACTCTATCATAAGAAACCTTACACGTTGCAAGTTCTCTACTAATGACAGTGGCGGATTTTGAAAGTTTTTCGGGATCAATAATTTATATGGAGTTACATAATTTTACAACTTAAACAAGACTATAATTAAATAAGCATATGAAAGTCATTTACAAATTCAATAATACGGAAATACAAAAACTTAACATTAATGTTATAGTAAAATAAAAAGGTAAAAGCTAACGAACGTCTCGGAGGCATTGGATAAATAAATGAAAGTAGAAATATTGAATAAAAATGAACATTAATCGCACTAATTAACGCACGATTTTGGTATGAATCCCTAAATTAATACTCTGTACTACTTTAGTAAATATTTTAAATTGTTTATCTAATGTCCTGGGGCGTTTGTTTGCAAGATTCAAATAAAAATTTAACGAAATATTACTGATTTTTGTTTGCAGTTTTAATTGATGTTTTCAATTGCGCTCCCTTGAAAAAAGTGCATTACTTCATTTTTATTAAATTGATGGTTTGATGGGGGAATTAAAAGAGAAAGATCGAGGAGTTTTTGTGGGTAGTGTGTCGTCACTAATTTGTTGGAAATTAATTAGATAGTTGTTGTAGTCCTAATTATTTGGCTTTCCTATGTAAATAGAAAACTACTTCGTAATATGTTAGTTTAGTTATGTCTTTTCATATTACTATATTTATTTTTTCTCCAAAATTTATCAAGGGCCAAGCCCCATTGAGTCTCTTCAATGATCCGTCCATGACTAACCGAGAGTGCAAGAAATTGGAGAATTTTGCTTACCCCAAACATTAAAGTTGTGGGATGATAAGTGTATTCGATCTTCTGGTTGTTATCATCCCATTGTTAGTGTTTGTGATGACAAAGTCGGTTAGGGAAGAGGTTGAAAGAAAGCAAAATAACAAACATTGAAATGAATTTTAGAGCAGGTTACAAATATAGACACGAACTTATATAATTGATACCAACTTGTTAAAAAAAGAATGAAATTGATATAAAAACATTAATACTCGGGTTAATTGCACATCAATCGTCTATGTAATCTTTTTCCAACGAACACAACCTAATATACTTAAAAAAATGCAGTACATATAAAGAAAGCATTTTGTAAAAGCATTCGACACGCACAACATTATTTCGACCAATGAAAAAAGGGAATTCATATATATTTTATTTTAGGATTTAAATATCAATCACCGTATAAGTAAAGTTAACGAATGAGATTTGAGAGATTAAGTAAAAATCTACGAATAGTGATTAGAATTTAAATTATTAAAAAAACAAAAAAAAATTTATCTTTTTACATTAAAGATTTTGAGATCTATTTGAGGTATGTTCGCGTATTCGGTAATTATTTAAGTATGTAGAAGCATGCTAGAATTTGTTTAATCAATTTCAAGTTAGTATCATGACAGGTATATATTGGTTGGAATTATCGGTTGGATTGTTGTTGGTGATTGATTTGTGGAGTATGAATTATTTGAGGTGAATTATTGATTGAAACTAACTATGATGGCATGTTGAATATGAAACACACTTATATTATTAAAATGAATAAAGGCATATTTAATCAAACTAAATGTTTAATTTAGTTTGGGTTATGTAAAGGAAATTTTATTATGGTTCACATAATTTTTATTGATGCTATAAACATGGGAATTGAGCTATTAAGTGTCTAAGTACACAGGAACAAAATGTATTGCGGTACCTAAGTGCACTTAAGGTGTTCAAAGCACTGCGCTTAATTAAGGTGTTTCTACATGAGGTAGTTTTAAAAGGGTTCAACATTAAATTAAATGTGGTCACTAATTATCCAAGAGTTAGATTGGAATGTTTAATTACTTGAATGATATTATGTCGATTGATTGTGTTGTGAATTAAAAGTCATTACCTAGTTTAAAATATGTAAACAACGTAAAGTGTAATACCTCGAGTATGAACATATGGGGTGAGTTATGAGGTTTTATATATATAACCATACCTTCTATTGGAAGTACATGACGATGTATTTTTCTTTTTATTTTTAGTATACCTCGAGTATGAACATATGGGGTGAGTTATGAGGTAGTTTACCCCAAGGTAGAGGTTTGGTGGGAAACCCGTTCGATGCATAATCAAATTAAATAAGTAATTATTTATTTATAAGTTGTGTTGTATGCTGTATGTTTGTAAAACAGGTGCAACAAGGTAAGTTGTGTGATGATAGGATAAAAGCATGTTAGTGTGTACTATTGTAGACACCTAAAAATTTCTCCCCAAAACCAAACCCGATGATGAACAACCTTTCACCGCCACTATTGGTCGGGTTTAGTATTTAATCCCGAGAGTGCTTAAAAAATCGTATTTTATTAAATTCATATTTTTGAACAGTCCATGGATTAGACTTGATGTTTGGTAAAAGCATAGTTTTAATTTCAGCCCAAACTTATTAATTAATTTTAAGCCCAAACCTTTTTTATTTTATTGTTTTATTGTTTATTTTTGGCCCAAACCTTTTATTTATTTTTATTTAATTATTTTCTTATTTTAGCCCGAATAATAAAAGTCAGAAAAGGCCCGAAATTATCAATCGACACTTAAAAAGCCGAAGGAAATTAGGGTTAAAAATGTATTTAGACGGAAAAACGGGTTGGAATTTCCCGCGCCACGGCAGGTACCTACCGTGTCATGGGAATCCTTCCCGTCTGACGGTGGGATTTCCCGTGACACGGGAGGTCTGTCGTGACACGGGACAGTCCGTGTCTTTTCCGCGTAAACCCTTAACGCGTTTTTTATCCCGTTTTCTGAAAATTTCCCGCGTCACATCAATTATGTACCGTGTCACAGGAAAGTGTACCATCTGACGGTGGATCTTCCCGTGTCACGGTACAGGTTGACCGTGTCACGGGATACTTTTTTAGGGTTTTTATCATTTTAGGGTTCCGTGTGCTCCCTCAGCACATTTTCCCTATAAATACCCCCTCATTTCTGATGTACGGGGCACCGAGTAATTCTCTAATTTTATTCTCCTCTATTATATGCTTTAGCCTAAACACTAGCCTACCCCTTTTTATTTCAAAATTCCTTCTTCAAGTACTCAAAGGAGTCCATACTTTACTCGTGGTTCTATCCTTAAGCCAAGGCGTGGAAGGTAGAATTGTTTGAGGGTTTGGCCCCAAAATCAATTTTACTTTATTTAATTTAATTTAATCATCGTTTTATTATTTCCTTGAAGTTACTAACTCGTTTATTATTTTGTAGTTGCAAACAAGCAGAATCAAAGTAAGGATCATGCTCCTTTTATTTTTATTATTTTTTTAACGATTTTATGTTGTTGGAATTGTGATTAATTTGGTTTTAATATTAATGTTGTTCTACTATTTTTATTATGATCACCATATTGCATGTTTAAAGGGAATATGTAATTGAAAATCACGCCTAATAAGATAATTTGGACAACCGGTTTAGGGTCCTTTTAATCTTATTATTAATTGAAGTGATCACCAATATTTTAGAATTATGTGTGCATTAATATTAAACCAATTTAGTTAAATAATAGTTTGGAGCGAATTGAATTATTGTTTGTATGCCTTTGAGATCACAGGAATGCTTTTCACTATAAGAATCGAGTAGAGGCCAATACGGGCGAATGTGACTCCATGACTCACTTTGTACCATCATCCCCGATCCTCCTTTCGTGGTTCCGAACCATATGGAGTTAGTAATCTCATGGATTATGAATGGGGTGTAACCTTCACGGGTCAATCGTTGTT